GAACTCTTGCTGAAGGAAGGCCAGGGTGATCAGACACCAAGACTGGGAGATTTTCATTAAAGTGACTCAGCAGAATTCTTAAATTCTCCTAAAACCAGATTAGGTGGGCCAAGGACAGAGCCCAAGGTAGTCAGAAAGAGCCTGACTCAAGTTTGGTCAAGGAGAGGGTCTTTGTCAGTTTGCAGTTGGAGGTGGCCACAGCAGAATATTTCTCTTTATAATACAATCACTAAACATTGTGAGCATTTGAGTGACACATTCTTAAAGAAGAAAAGCTGCTTTTCTTTTGTTTAATCTCTGTTTTATTATTGCCTTTTTGGGCCATTTCAAGGTTTCTTCCTTATGTGTAGAATATATTTCTTCTCATCTTACAATAGCAAAGGAAATTAAATACAGAAGAAATGTCTTAATAACCCAAACACGGTGAAAATGGAACGCTGTTCTGTAGTTTGGCTCCTCAGTGACTTAGAGAAAGGCATTGTGTGACAGCCATGCTTCCCTTTCCTTCCTGAATTGCATTGAAAGTACAGTCAGTCTCTAAACAACAACTTTGGAACTTTGAAAAGCAAGTGTAATAGCCAGAAACAGAGGCTGGGAAATTTTATCCTAGTAAATGATATTCCCCATCTGCCAACCTCTGTTATTCACAGGTTCTTGGTATCCCACTGACAGACTTCTGATACTCAACTTCCTGGACCACCCTCATTTTATTAAAACATCTTTTTCCTCCTAGAATTTTAGGAAAATTAGTTATTCTGGATGTGAATTTTCTGTTCTGAAAAACAAAAAACAAAACTGATTTTACCCTACCCTAAATCTTTTAACTTAAATTAAGATAAAAATCTTAAAGATTTCTATCTTTGAAATTAAGTTAAACATCTCAAAGTTTTTTTTTTTCTTTTTTGTGAGGAATATTAGCCCAGAGCTAACATCCGTTGCCAATCCTCCTCTTTTTGCTGAGGAAGATTGGCCCCGGGCTAACGTCCCTGCTCATCTTCCTCTACTTTATATGTGGTATGCCTACCGTAGCATGGCTTGATAAGTGATGCGTAGGTCTGCACCTGGGATCCAAACCTGTGAACCCTGGGCTGCTGAAGCAGAGTGCACAAACTTAACCACTAAGCCACCAGGCTGGCCCCCTCAAAGATATTTTTAAAAAGTTAAGTCAAAAAGCTTAACGATGAAAATAAAAATCTTACTTTAAGATATAAGATTTAGGAGAGGGAGCATTCTTAGTTGATAACTGGTGGAAATCTCTCAGAAAAGAATCTCTCAAAATTGCATTTTGTGGAAACAAGTGTGTGATACCCTCAGAGATGATCCTTGGTCAAATATATTTAGGGGAACAATGGATAGTTTATCCCTTTTGGAGAGTCACAATACTTGTGTGTGTTTAAATGGCCACAAAACATTTTCTTTTCCTTCTATGTAATACCTTTATTGTTCTGCAGGATATACTTTAGAAAATTCTGGTGAAATGCTCATGTATGTGCCCAACAATCAGTTAGGCAGTGGGGATACTGCAATGAACAAGATAGTTCCCTATCTTCCGGGGCTTAGAGTGTTGTGGGTCTAAATAGTTCATGACAGTATAGTGCGTGGGGGGAACCACAGAAGGCTCAGATGCATACAGAAGGAGATCCTGATTCAGAGATCCAGAAAGAGAGTTTCCAGAAAGGTTTTCTAGAAGACATGATGTCAAAATTGGTGGAGAAAGGAGGGAAATGGAGAGTATCCTAGGCAGAGAACAGCGTGTAGGAAACACCAGAAGGTGAATTCAGAGAATTCAAAGCCGTTCAGCATATTTAGAATGTAGAAATTGACGTAGCATGGGGCAAGAGATAGGCGAGAGAGGGAACACCTCAGATGAGGTAGGCAGTAGGCTATAAACCTTGTGAAGGACTTTTAAACTTTATCCTGAAGATAAGGGGGAAATCACTGAAAGGTTTGAATCACTTGTTCACTTTCACTTTAAGAAGATTATAGGCTTTATTGCAGAGACTGGATTGAAGATGGGAAATTTGGCGGCAGAAAGACCAGATGGAAGGCAATCTAGGCAAGAATTCATGGTGACTTTAGGGGAGTGGCAATATAGATGCAGAGAGGTGGGCAGATGCAAGAGTTATTTAAGAGAGAGAATCCATAGGCCTTGGTGGTTGATTGAATGCGAAGTAAGAATGGGGAAGAATTAAGAAGTTTCTAACTTGGACACCTGGGTACTGGGAGCCCTTAGGGCATACAAGAGTGGGGATAGGTTTTGGTGGGAGAAATGAAGGATACGGATTTGGACAGGTTAATTTGACATAAGGCTCTTTTTGTTTCTTTTTAAACCTGGTGAGGTGAATAGGGCAGGTTTTATAATACTTAGCTGAGTTGCATACGATGAATGGATTGTCCATAGTCAATGGGCAGTGAAAACACAAAGCCCTGACCTCTGACTCCTTCTGTTCTTTCTCTACTGTAACCTACTAATTCTCAAAGAAGTTGTGACTTTTGTAGATTATAATCAGAAAACTAGCCCTCTTTTCCCTGAAATCTTTTGGTTGAAGTCTTCTGGTCTTCAGTTGTCTTGTTGCTGTTCAATATTCACATATTTTCAAAGTTCTGCTGGAGATACTTTTTAACTTCTGAACATTAAAGCCATTTTGGATGTTTAAGGAGATTTTTGTTCTTCATGCAATAAAGCTTTTAGTGTATTTTGTTTTTAAATTATTTTTAAATTGAGGGAGTTGAAAATCCTTTTGGGAGGAAGTTGAATATTAATAATAAAAAATACTGTGGTTCCCTAAAGCAATTAAAATGCTTTATACTCAGTGTATTCTCTAATCTTTGAAAGCTGGTTAAGAAGCATACCTTTTGCTATAAATTGGTACAATCTCTTTGGAGGGCAGTGTGGCAATATCTGAATTAACTTTATCCTACAGATATATATGCACATGAAAACTATGCTGTATGTATTTTGGCTAAATAAGTTATGTCACTTCCATACAAAGGAATACTGGTCAGCCTCCAAAAGAATGAAGCAACTCTATATGTACAAATATATAAGGATATCCAAGCATTAATAAGTGAAGAAAAAGCAAGGTGCAGAACAGTGTGTATAATAGGCCTCTATTTATGTAAAAAAATTTTTTTTTGGTATGTGCTTATAAATGCCTAGAATATCTTTGGGAAAATACACAATGAACTGTAATAGAGTTTCCTTTGGGGGAAGGAAACCGGATAACTGGAATACAGGGTTGGGAGGGAGATTTAATTTTTTCCCTGTATCAAATGTTTTACCTTGTGGATTTTATACCATTTGCAAAATTATCTATTAAAAAACAAAGTTGCTGGGGCTTCGCTTACATGCTCCATGGGTGATAGAGGGAAGCCTTAGAATATAAGAACTGAGTGCAGCATTTTAACAGTTATAACATTACAGCAAATCTGCTTTGTGTGTTTGCTTTTTGCTATGTGGCGATTAGGTATACAGTTGTGAAAGGTTTCCCTGAAGTGATTATAATCACATTTTTAAAAAATGGAAGTGGAGTGCCTATTTATAAGCGCAGCTAAAGGAATGCTCATGAAAATTGACAGCTAGACAACTGGAAATTATTCTGAAAACCTCTGGGGTCCATCACCCAGGGAGAACAAGGTTGCTCCAGATTGCTGATAGCGATTTCTGACAGGCTAAGAAGAAAGCGAATTGACCTTGCTCTTCCTCCCTCCTCCTTTCCATTCGTTATGCCTTGCCCTGGCTTATCCAATTGCCCCATGATCCTCAATTACATTTACTCTTATCCTTTACCCCAAATTCCTATTCACTTAGAGTGGTTGTCTGCAGACCCTCAGATTCTGAGGCACACACTTTTTGATTAGCATATTAGGGACGTCCCTGCAATATTATGTGGCAGTTTTTTCCATAGGGTGTCCAGTGGGATATTATTGGTTCCTCATCTATCTTTTTTTTTTTTTTTTTTTGTGAGGAAGATCAGCCCTGAGCTAACATCCATGCTAATCCTCCTCTTTTTGCTGAGGAAGACGGGCTCTGAGCTAACATCTATTGCCAATCCTCCTCCTTTTTTTTTCCCCCCAAAGCCCCAGTAGATAGTTGTATGTCATGGCTGCACATCCTTCTAGTTGCTGTGTGTGGGACGTGGCCTCAGCATGGCCGGAGAAGTGGTGCGTCAGTGCACGCTTGGGATCTGAACCCGGGCCGCCAGTAGCGGAGCGCGCGCACCTAACCACTAAGCCACGGGGCGGGCCTCCTCACCTATCTTAAGTTTGGTAGATCCTCTATTGAGAGAGCATCTCATATGCTTCGTGATCCATAGAACATACACTGTACTGTGCTGCTGTTGTTGTACTGGAAAGTGCTGGTGATAAAAAGGGGCACTGTGACTGCATGTGTGCATCTCCCACCTTCCTTTCACTCTCTGGGTGAGAGGGGCAAAGGAGAATGCTAAGATGTGCAGCCCTCAGAGCTAAATGGTCTATTTCCTTTTGAATATAGATAATAGGGTCTTGGGCAAAATTACCAAAAAGGAAAAGTTTGATATCCACTCCTCTCCTCTATCCGAAGAGGAAGCGTCTTCTTCAAGGCTGAGCCTTCCTCATTGGCTGTCCATACCATTTCTTTCCCTGCCCCTCACCCCCCAAAGTCTCCAAAGTCATTTTCATTCTCTCTAGTGTCTTTACTCTCTCTGTTTTTATTGATTTCTCTTTTATCTGCAAACAAGGTCCAGGCTTTCTGAACACAAAATAAACTTTCTTTCAACTTTGCCTATTAAACATAGTGTCAAAGAGCTCTGGTGCTGGTATTAGGTAGAACCTGCTCCTCCCCTGTAAAGAGGTAATAATGGTCGTATCCGTCATACAGTTGTGAAGAGTATTACTCTAGCTAAAGCACATAGAGCATTTAGCACAGCCTTTGGCATATATGAAGGGCTACATTAATGTTGGCTTTTGCTTTATATTGTTGATTTAGTGGCTGTTGTTTTTAATATTGTTTCTCCCAAGGGTATCTTACACTAGCTACCTCTTCTGTTTTACATCCTATTTCCTGAATCTCTCCAATCTGTTCATTCATCATGGACAAAATCACCATCCTCCTTACCTTCTTTGCAGTATCAAACACGTCTTCTCAGTTTTTCTACTAGCGTAATAATGCAAACTTTTTTTTATTAAAGAGAGAAACCTTCTCTCTTCTCTATTTCAGGTATCATGTCACCATCTTGATTAATAACTCTTTGTTTTTTATTCCCTGAACTCTTCTGCATCCTATGCTGAGATGTTTCTAAAGGTTCTTGGCTCTTTTATCTTCTTTGTTTTCTGCGCCCCAGTACTCGTGGCTTTTTGCCATACCTTAACATGAGTGTCCTCTTGAGTTCTCCTCCAGGCTGAAATCTCTGCATTTCTAACCACCATGGAATTCCATCACCATCTCTGAAAACCTATATCATCTTTGAAGGACTTTCCTAAGTTCCATGTCTTCTATGGAGACTTCCCAAATATCTGCAGGCAGAAGGGATTTCTTCTTCAAAGAAGTCTCAGAGCCTGCTCTTGTGCCATACTTGGAATCTATTTATGAACATAGATTCTTCTCCTTTGGTGTTGGTCTTTGGGACACAATTTTTTTTATTTTTATTAGAATAATATGATATGCTAATCAAATTATTTTTCAATGAATGAATGAATAAAGCTATTATTCTTAGAAGTATCAATATGTTAAAACAACAGTGGATAAATTGATGGACTATATTCTACCTATGAGTTCTGAAGGGCTGATCCCCTACTCATCATGCTTCAATGACATCTTTGGGAGAGAGGACGTGGTTGACACTAAAGTTAGCTGTAAAGTTAAAAATGAATGCAGTCAAAATTGTCCTTTTTGGGCCGGCCCCATGGCTTTGCGGTTAAGTGCGCGCGCTCCGCTACTGGCGGCCTGGGTTTGGATCCCGGGCGCGCACCGAAGCACCTCTTCTCCGGCCATGCTGAGGCCGTGTCCCCCATACAGCAAGTAGAAGGATGTGCAACTATGACATACAACTATCTACTGGAGCTTTGGGGGAAAAAAAAAGGAGGAGGATTGGCAATAAATGTTAGCTCAGAGCCGGTCTTCCTCAGCAAAAAGAGGAGGATTAGCACGGATGTTAGCTCAGGGCTGATCTTCCTCACACACACACAAAAAGTACTACAAGGCACTCATCGAGATGAGATGAGCAGACTAAGACGTGCATGTGGGACCTGAGACCAACTAGGAAACGGTAGATCCGGTCTCTTGCTCACATTCACCCTAGTGCCTACATGCAGTCACTTTTGGGCAATGGTTTTCCATATGTGGTCCAGGGACTCCTAGGGGTCTTTGAAACCCTTTCAAAGGGTCCTCAGAATCAAAATTATTTTCCTGATGGTACTAAGACATTATTTGCCTTTTTCACTCATTCTCTAATGAGTAGTTTTCCTGACGTTACATGATGAATCCACGCTATCTAAAAAGGCTATTAAAATACTATTTCCTTTTCTAAACACATGTCTATGTGAGGCCAGTTTTCTTTATACACTTAAGCAAAACCACTTATTGCAACAGATTGAATGCAGAAGCAGATGTGAGAATCTAGCTGTCTTAAGCCAGACATTAAAGAGGTTTACGAAAAAAAGACAATGCTCTTCTCATAAATCTTTCAAAAATTTTTTTCGTAAAAAATATATTTATGTTAACACATAATAGGTTTATTATTGTTATTTAAAAGTAAACTAATCAGTAAATACTTTCAAAAGTCCAAGTTCTACTACGTAAATATTGGTAGACATACAAAAGTTTTTTTTTTTTTTTTAAAGATTTTATTTATTTATTTTCCCCCAAAGCCATAGTAGACAGTTGTATGTCACAGTTGCACATCCTTCTAGTTGCTGTATGTGGGACGCGGCCCCAGCATGGCCAGAGAAGCGGTGCGTCGGTGCACGCCCGGGATCCGAGCCCCGGCCGCCAGCAACTGAGCGCACACACTTAACCGCCAAGCCACGGGGCCGGCCCCATACAAAAGTTTTTTTGGAGGTCCTTGGTAATTTTTATGAATATGAAGAGGTCCTAAGCATAAAAAGTATGAGAACTGCTGCTCTTGGGCACAATATACTCCTAAACGTGGAATGGCATTGAAATTACCCACACTTAAAAATTTTTTTTCTTTCTTCTCACCTTTCTTCTTCTAGCCCTATCTCATTGTTTTAGCAAAGATTTTGAATTTGTCCAAGTTAAATACGTGGTATGTGTCTCTACCAAATTTCAAGAGGCAAAATCTTGTTGCAATGTTCTTTCTGCTGTGCTACACGGAGAAAGTAAAACAAGCGGTCTCCACTGTATAAAGAAACTTTACTATGGATGATATGAATAAAATTGCCTTTAACCCGTAATTCCTAATAAAGCCTTTATTGTCCAAGATGACGGAGGGTTTCCTGAAAGTCAATTATTTAAGAGTATAGCTTCACCTCAAGAAAAGGTTTTTTAGACTATGTAGTTTACTAGTTTTTAGACTACTCGGATGTAGTCCTAGTAAAGTTTTGGATAATTTAACAAGATATTTGGAGCATAAATAAAGACCATCTGCTTACGTGGATAACAAATTTGTGGGTATTTTGCTGCTTGGAAATTGGAGAAGATTGAGTGTATCTGATCTGAAAATCTTAACAGATTAGAGTGGTTATACAGTAAATAGGCCCAGTATTTGGTTAAACTCTGTACTTTGCTATCCAGGGATAGTTGTAAAGAACACTCACAAAGGAACCTCCCATTTCCTTTTCCTTTCTTATCCAAGTGATTTAACATGATCTGAAATTATAAATGTTTAGTTTGCATGTTTTATTCCCCAGAAGACTGGATGAGGCTGACGCATGTGTGGCAGCAGAGGAGAGGATATCTTGTCACTGCTATTTGAAATTGTGTTTTTGGACTGACGTAATGAGAGCTTTCACCAATTTAGGGAGGGCAGAGATGGGGTACGACGCCATTTTAGTTCGAAGCTTTACGATATGCTCTATTTGCCGGGTCACTATTGAGTTCTTCTAATTCTCTGTGGAGAATTCATAAATGTTTTGCTCATGTACTCATGAGTTCATATGATCTGGACATTCATTCTGAATGTCTAAATGCCATTGTTCCACAAGGCAGTATATGAAAATGTTAGTAAAATTTCTCACCTTAACAGGAGAAGTGACGTTTTAGGGAGTTGCGAGTTATTTGGTTGACATTCCATTTTTAAAGATGTTACCAAAAAAATCACTACCAGCAATATAGAACTCACCTTTTACTACCCAAAAAGAAGAAACTATGTAACGTTATTTTGTATTCTTTATGAGGTATTTCTAAATGCTGCCTCCTGGAAAGATCATTTCCTGGAAAACAAGTCAGGTCAACTCATGGCAGTGTTGGTGAACCAGATCCTTGGGTTTTGGTTATTTTAGGTTTGGATGCTCTTTGCCTGAGACTGTTAATCTTGAATTAAGTGAGTCCTATCAGGTCTCCTGGCAGAATGTGGACCAGGCCCCGTAGAAGACCCTGAGCTGACTCTTTCAAGTGGATGGGCTGGTTTTGCACTGATGCAGTTCCCCAAGGTGACAGATGGTACACCGTGGAAGTCCGCCTGCCTGGCACTCAGTGTGAAGAGGTCCTTGCTTCAAGGGAGGGGTGTGTAGAGAAAATCTCAAATGTCCATCTAGAGTCTGAAAATATTACTTCTCTATTTGATCCATTCCGGTGCTTCCCTACGTGTTTCCAAGATAAATAAGATAACGCCCTGTCTTGAAGTAGCTTACAATGACGTTAAGAGAAAGGCAACTGAATTAAGTGCAATTAAGCCTTGTGAGTGCTGTGATATGTATAAGAGAGAGTGGGGGACATAAAAATGGGAGTATGTAGTCAGTTTCACCTGGAGAAGTATTTCTTAGATATTAGATTTTTTTAAAGTACAAAAAAGTTTTAAAAAAGGAAATAAATGACCTATTACTTGTGCGGCCCTTCACTCCCAATCACACAGCCCTTTGGATGCTAAAACAAATTCATGCACACATTTAGAATGATTTTTTTTTTTAAATTAAGGAATGCCTCTAAGATTATGCCTTCTGACAGATTCCTCTGAGAGAGAATCTGTTCGCTGGAAACCCTAAAAAGCAGGAATTAATTCATGTATAGCTACTGTTAGAGGATTTGTCTTTGGATATTTCTTTACTATTCCCCACCCTTACCTCAGGCCTGAGGTTGGATGTGAAATCTAATTATGTTTTAGGGTGAAGCAAAGTGTTGTGACCAACATTGAGCCGAGACCAACACTGTTCCCTTCTTTGTCCTCTGCCTTTCCCTCCCCCAAATAACAACAAACAAAACTGCCTAGTATATAAAAAACACCGAGTCAATAAAGACAGCCATGATAGATGCAGGAATGGCATAATCTCCACTGTCAACTACCACTGCCATGACAGTTTGCTTGTCTAAGTGGCAGAAGCCAGCACCTTATCCTGCGTAGGTGTGGGCTATTGAATCAGAATCAACAAACATTTGGTTCCAAATAGTTCTCTGTTAAACTGAACATGGGGACCTCTTCCATGTGTACTGGAGAGTATATTGAAAAGGCTACCATATTGAGGTAGGAGGAAAAAAAAGTAAAGTTCTAAGTTGAGAATTGTTTGCAATACTGGCAAATTAAGCCTGCTTTTCTTTACCCCGCAGTTTTGAGATAAGATATGGGAGTTGCAGGAGGAAAGTTTCCATGTTCTTGTTAATGGCACAGGTTTCCGGTTTACATATTTGGAGGGAAAGTTGTATACATGGATTCCTGAAGTTCTATTTTAAGTGTGTTCGTTTTGTTGCTCATTCAACAATCATTGGGTTGGGCTCTGGGGCAACAGAAATAACTAGCATGGGGCCTATAGGAGGCAGAGTCTAGTCGGGGAAAGTGGACCTGTAAAAGTATGACAGGCCCTAGGAGGGAGATTTGGAAGTCAGGAAGTATTTTTCTGTGCAACAAATACATCAAAGTTAAGTTCCTAGGCCACCAACCAAAAGCTAATTCTACCTTTGACATTATCAATAGTAAGCTAAGGTTTATTGAGCCTTAATAAGTCCCAGGGAGAATTCTAAGTCTTTAATTTATCTATTTGTTTCAGCAACCCTAGGAGGTATTATTATTATCTCCATTTTTAATAGATGAGCAAATAGGCGTGAAGAAATTAAGTGATTTGCCCAGATAGTCCTACTAGAGTTGGCTATCTAGCCTTTTAGAAGAAGGGAGTGGTTGAGCATAGCTTGCTGAATTTGTGTATATAGGCTCCTAAATTAGAGACCCTTTTGGGGGCTGTTTTGTTTTTCTGAAGAAGATGTGCACTGAGCTAACATCTGTTGCCAGTCTTCCTCTATTTTGTCTGTGGGTTGCCGCCATAGCATGGCCACCGAGGAGCAGTGTAGGTCCACGCCAGGGAACGAACCTGGGCCGCCGAAGCGGACTGTGCCAAACTTAACCCATAGGCTGTGGGGTCAGCCCTTGGGGGCTGTTTTTAATAATAGTTAATTGGTGCACATGAAGTTTAATGATATCCATTTATTATGTTTCCTCCTTTTTATTCTAAGTTCCTTCAGAGCAAGAACCTTGTCTTATTTGCCATAGAATTCCCAGCTTGCAGCATAGCCTATCGCAAAATATTGGTTGAATGAATTCAGATATTTTGAAATTCAGAATGAAGAGCTCTTTGAGGACACACTAACTCCCTTGTAGCACCTTTATCAGTGCTTTGCAAAAATTAGGTACTTAACAAATGTTTGGAGAATGAACAAATGAAATTGTTAATGTTTTTGAATAGGGGACAGGGCTTACTGGGGACAGGGCTTACTGATTCTAAAAGATGGTGTCATTTCTTTTTTTTTTTTTTTTTTAATGGGCCGTT